TTAAATTTTTAAGTTTATATAAATGGGACATCAAAACTTTAAACATTTTATATATATACATATATTTATGTATGTGTGTGTATATATATTATTTATATAGAATTTTTTCATGAATTTAGATATTTTTAAAAAAATCACAATTTTCCACCACTCCCTCTCATTTGGTCTGCATCTTTTATTTTTTGTCTCCAGTCTTGTTCCGACAGGTCGCCAGCGCCACAGGCTTCTGTGACCAGCGCCGTCTGGGCCTTCTCCTCCATGATTCCATCCAGATCCCTCGGCAGCTCGGCGAGGTGGCGTCCTTCGGCGGCTCCAACATCGAGCCCTCCGTCCGCAGCTGCTTCCAGTTTGTATGTGCCTCACTCAGAGTTGGCTTTGAAAACAAAAATGGGCGTGCTGTAAATAAAAGGACGAACACAAAGCAGAGGCTATTTCTGCGGCTTTTTGAGTCACACCTGTGATTACCTGCCTTTTAATTTCTGTGTGGCGGCAGCGTCTCATTACCCACTTCAGTAGCTGGAGTCGACTTTAGTCTTAGTCTTTAGGACTTTCTCTGCACAGGCGTGTAGAAATGAGGGAAGTACACTTAATATTTTTCTTTATCACCAATTTTTTCTAATTATACTTTTGTTTTAATTTATTTAAATACTATCCAGGAAAAATGCAGAAAATACAACAAAATATGTGGCTTCATAGTAAAGCAGCAGTACATTAAATATTTGTAGAATATCGTTAAAGACTTAGAATATCATCCCAAACTAGATTATTTAGTTTCTGCCTGGATTACTGCACCTTCACATGGAGATGATCTATGGAGATCTGCTTTATTCAGAATGTAAATATTATTAATATATGCAGAAGTATTTAATCTAATAAATAAATAGCGTAAGAGAAAGGTCTGCTGACTCCATTCCCCCCCTTTCCTGCTTCTCTACTCACCCAGCGAATAAGCAAACGTCGTACGATGTGGCAGTTGGACTGAATTCAAACTGTTTTATGCAGCCCAGCATTTAGCCATCATGCTACATTTAGCTGTAACAGACAAAGCACCCCACAAAGAAAGCTCCGCCCCCTTAATTGAACTTAACTAAATAAATTGCATTGAAATCTTTTAACTTAATAACCTTTAAATAAGTGAAAAATGATTAAACATTGAGGTTTATATGTAAAATACTTTGATTTTATGGGAATATTTATAATTTAATGTAATATTTTCTTAATATAGACATTAATGATTAGATTTGAAGTGAAACAGCTCTCCGTAGAGATCAGGTATCTAACGGTTCTATGTTTTTTTTATTTTTAAAGGCCAATAACAAACCTGAGCTGGAAGCCTCCATGTTCCTGGACTGGATGCGCCTGGAGCCTCAGTCTATGGTGTGGCTCCCCGTCCTACATCGGGTGGCGGCTGCTGAAACCGCCAAGCATCAGGCCAAGTGCAACATCTGCAAGGAGTGCCCCATCATTGGCTTCAGGTGAGCAACATGGCGGATATTCTCACTAAGATCCTTGTGGCAGACGGCCATTTAATCTTTTAATTATTATTGTGGACTGTTTGGGGGGTGGTTTATGTTCTGAAATACACAGAACGACGATTTAAATCCAGCTAACAGGCCGAACTGACTGAACTGGGGAGAAAGGACGGAGTGGAATACCTGTTTGATCCAGATCTTTCTCTGTGGACAAAAAAAAAAAAAAAAGCTTTTTTTTTTCTAATTTTCTTCCTCTTCCCTACAAGCTGACTTCAGCTGCTTTGTGTGTTGCTGGATACCATGGTAACCTTAACATGATGTAATAGCTTGACTGAGATGTAAACATGTCTCCATAATAGAGCTGAGATCATAAAGCTTCTATTAGCTGACCCTGAACATGACTCAGCTTTTTTCTAACAACTGTTAAGAGGCTTTTTTATCAGGGTGAAGCCTGAGTCAGGTTTGTGCTGCTTTGAAAGCAAATGTAGCCTGATGCAGGCAGACGTTCAGCCCAGCCCATGCATCATTAACAAGCAAACACTCCACCCTGGAAGGAAGGCTGAGGGGGAAAAAAAACACCTTTTCCACCTTTAGTGTTACATTTTTTTACACTTGGAGGCTAATTCCTGGATTTTTTTTTTCTGTCCTTCACCTGATTTAAAATCTAAAATCTTTTCCTAACTCTGATTTTTTTTCAGATATCGAAGCCTGAAACATTTCAACTACGACATTTGCCAAAGCTGCTTCTTCTCCGGCCGCGTCGCCAAGGGACATAAGATGCAATACCCCATGGTTGAATACTGCACGCCGGTACGACATCCCTGCTTTAATAAAAAAAAGAAAAGTATATATTTTAAAGTTGTCTAAATTGCATCTTAGAGCTTTTAGAGTCGAGCCACTGTTGCTCTATTAAGCTAATAAGCTGATTTATTTGCTTTAAGAGGGGATCATAAAAAATGGTTGACTCCAAAGAATTGAATTGAACCAGCTTCCAGGAATAGAGAGGATTCCTCATATTTTTTTCTGTTTTGCGACGTTCCATCTTCTCTGGCCCTGCGGTGGAGCTGAACAATTTTACAAGCTCCGATATTGATTCAAACTAATCTAAAATGGGTGGAAAGAAGGTGGGACTTCATTTTAGCATAAATACTGAAGATAGTTTCAGTTTACAGACAGTTTATCGAGTTTTTCCTACTGTAAATCTGCGGAGAACAACACGGTTTCATCAGTTAGATGAACACTAAAATCAAAAGTCCGCTTCAGATTTAGCTTCCGCCTCTGGATCCATTTACTTCATATCAAAGTGGTTCTTGAACCGGTTTCAGATTAGATGGGAAACTATAGGTTTGATAATCAGATAGTTAATTCTCTATAATTAGTGATCCAAGTGTGACTGAATTTACACCACAATGCAAACCACTTCCCACCTTCCAGATCCCTTATGTTTGAGATCATTTAAATCATTTTATTTCAGAGATTACCCGTGTAAACAGTGCAGATTATAAGTCACGCTTTCATAGATTTAATGAGAAAAAGCATCCGAACCGAATATCCATCTAAATACCAAAAAACTGAGGGAAATAAAAAGAAAATTATTTTGTTTACCTAATCAACACACACTGCAAAAAATGGCAATCTAAATTAGTCACTTTTGCTTAAATTAAGTGCATTGTTTCTTGAATTGAGGAGGTAATTGAGATACTGCCAAAGGAACATGACAATTTACATTTAAAATAAGAAACAAACAACTTTGTCTTATTTCGAGCGCATATTTTCTAATTATCTTTTTTTAGGGGTAGAGATACTCATTCCATTGGCAAATAATCTTATTTAACTGCTAAAATTAAGGGTAAATACACTCAATTTAAGATTTTTTTTTTTACTTAATTCTAGATGTTTTTTGCAGTGCAAAAGTTAGAATAGAGGAAACTTAGACGGAACCAGTCTGTCAACATGAAGTAGGCTGAAGCAACTCATCATTCCTCAACTGTAGGAACTTCTAGAACAGATGAGCAACGTTTCTTTGTGACGTTCCTTCATAGGTTGGCTAAAAGAAAAGATGCAAACCTCTGACTTTGATCGGTTTTTTTTTTCTGTGTGCCGCTTCCTCTCCCCGTCTCTGCAGACCACTTCAGGGGAGGATGTCCGGGATTTCGCCAAGGTGCTGAAGAACAAATTCAGGACCAAGCGCTACTTCGCCAAACACCCGCGCATGGGCTACCTGCCCGTCCAGACCATCCTGGAGGGGGACAACATGGAAACGTGGGGCTCACTCACACATTCATTCTCCATCTATAAGTAGAGAGCACCAATTGTTTCCTCCCATTGATTTTTCAGTCATTTTTAACCCTAAATTAAATGTGAAACTAAATACTGTAGCTTTATTGACAAATAGCATGAAAATTAATTATTTTAAATAAAATATCACGTGCTTGAAAGATATAAAAGTATTGGATTTTTTCATAAAAAAAACACGTCTTTTAACTTTTAAAAGGGGTTTGGTAACTTTTAACTTGACAGTTGTTGTGAGAGCATTTTGCATTTCACATTGTGTGTTTTGCTAGCTAATATGTCATGAGATTTCAAAAGAAATGCTAAACATGGTAATTTACAACACTATTAAATAATATTTACATATAATATTGATGTAATTTCACTTACAACCACTATCAATTAATGTTTCCATAAATTGTGATGAAGTAGAACAAATCCAAATATTTCTAAAAAATATGCCGGATTATTATATCGTGACCAAATTTGACTGTATTTTGGAGAGTAGTTGTTTTATACTAATGCCAGGCCAGTGGGCGGGGGGCTAGCGATCCCACACAGGTAAATAGAAGAAAGAGACGAGTAGGATATAAACAAGGAGCGGAGAAAATCACGCGTATGTGTCGACCGACAATGGCAGAATGGATTCAACAGCTTCAGAACCAAAACACTAAATTCAAGAACTTTGTTTGGGTCGGTGCATCACGCGCGCTAAGAGTGGTTTAAGTTATTTGTTAAATAGGTCTGAAGTTTAATTTCCTTTATGCTGATGAAGGTTCTCAGTCATCCAGGTCATAGTCATTCCGTAAAAAATAAAAAAAATATCCACTGGACTTGGTTTCCAAGATTTGAAGACGTTTCGCCACCTCTCCAGGAAGCTTTCTCAATTCAAATGTCTGGATCCACAGTGAGTTTGAGTCTTTATATAGAGACAAAGCCTTGTATCACTTGTCCAGACAAGACTCTGGACAAGACTACGCAGTACATCTACACATTGTGGACAAAGGACATTCTTTTGAGGACCAGAATGTTCACATTCTGGATAAAGAAAATAGGTGGTTTGAGAGGGGCGTGAAGGAAGCCATCTATGTTAAGAGAGAAAAACCAACTTTAAACAGAGGTGGTGGACTCAGATTCCTAAAACTTACTATTCAATCATAGAGATGCTCCCTTCCAGATATCACCAAACCCCCCAACCCATCACAGAGGAACAACGGACCTACCCGCTCCAGCCGGTGAACAATACCTCCTTAACGACCGACCTTCAGAATCAAGGACAGGTTTCAGATATTACAGGCTAACAATGGAACCAAACGACCCATTCATCGGTTACCATTTGCACGTTTCCATTGTCCATATAAGACTCAAACTCACTGCGGATCCAGACATTAGAATTGAGAAAGCTTCCTGGAGAGGTGGCGAAACGTCTTCAAATCTTGGAAACCAAGTCCAGTGGATATTTTTTTTAATCTTTACGGAATTTCCTTTGTTTCTCACCATAAGTAGTGAGTTATCTAATGGATTCCAAAAAAACCTTCTGCTTGTTGCCTTATTTAATTAGTATTTCGCTATAAAATGTTATTTGACACATACAATAGATGCCTTTGATGCTAAATTCTGGCAGCGTTCAGACGTGTCGTGGAATCCTGCTTTAGATTAATGTTTAACTGGACTCTTTCCTCTTTTAACATGTAAAACAAACATTTTTGCACCTTCTTTATATTTGAGCTGTGTGTGGATGCTTAACTTCCTTTTACTGAATAGAACCTCATTGAAGACCAGGTCCATGCTATTGAACTTTGGAACTTACAGAATATTAGTAGGAAGATCCAGCTTTGATGTTATTTTCTCTCTTGCAGTCCTGTTACGCTGATCAACTTCTGGCCTGTAGACCATGCGTGAGTATCTGGCCGTCACACAACGCTCATTCTGAAACTTTAGCTGGAGCTGTTTGCAGCTTGTTGGCTGTATTTTCATCCACTTACCTCATCTTAGATGCTTTATCCTCAGCTTTGCATACTGTCTCCCTTTTTTTTTTATGGAAAACATTAGCTTTACTGCCACCTTGTGGTTATGTGAATGAATTTCTACAGGAAAAAGTCATGGAAACCAAACCTTATAAATTAAATGCACATAAAACAGTTGAAACCCACCCCAAAGTAGACCTGTTTTAAATAAAAAATTTAACTCAACAAATATTTAATATTATGTAAATTTGTCGCAGTCATTAATTTAAAGAAGATCAGGTAAGAAAGGACAAATAAATTTGATTAAAGAAGAAGCAGTTTTGTTTAAACTGGCTTTCAAGTAACAATACCATAAAATGTATTATTATTATTAATCTGATTAATGTTTGATTCAAACAGAAGCTCATTTTCAGCTTTTATTAAACATTTCTGGGAGATCAAACTGCCCTTTTCATTTTTACCTACCAGTTCTCTTTTTTCCTCCTGCAGACCTGGATCGTCCCCTCAACTCTCCCATGATGACACCCATTCTCGTATCGAGCACTACGCCAACCGGTAACCCTCTCCCCGTGTTCCTGCTTTTGTTGCATTAGGTGTTGCTAACATGACGTAGTGAAGCGGTTTTTATGGCCCCTACTTATGTTTTTATTTCACCTATATTCCCTGCTGCTGTCCTCAGCCCTGAACGTTTCACAGCGGATGGCTGATATATAGAGCAAGCAATTATTTACAATATGTAATACAGACGATTGACTGGAGGAGTTATTCCTGCTGGATCGGCCATTTAGACACAAGGGGTTGAGAACACGCATTTGAGGGGGCAGCAAGAGCAGGCCAGATGTCTCCTCGAAGCAACGCCACCAGCTTCTGAATCAACGACTGAATAAGTCATTTAGTTTAATGGCGCTGTTGTATCGGCTGATTTGGCTTTTCACGTCCTTCAGCTGTTGATTTGTTTGCATAACTACAAACTCTGAGAAAACCAACATATCTTTCGATAAAAACGCTAGTCCCATTTTGAAGAAGTAGAGAAATGAAGGGTAGCATCTCCAAGGGGTTAGCCTTAAACTGTGATTCCAAATCTGTTTATTCTATTTTAGTAGACTCCTTACCTGTCAGTATAAATTCAACACCACTGTAGAGACCAAGGAGAGCAGCAGACGGATTAGTGGATCAAATTGTGGAGAACTCAAAAGCAGGGTTACTATTCCAGGCTTTTAAGACTCACGGAGGATCGTCAGGGACTTGTAAACCTACTTTCTCCTTTGAGAGAGCTAAAGAGATCTATAGCTCAGGTGGGAGAATACCACTAGTAATGCTCTGAGCAGATATGCCCTTCCTTGAAGTATGAGAATGGTGAGAAGAAGAAGAGATCTTCTAGTAGGAATGCAGCCGTTAATCTACAATTAAAACTAGTGTGGAGTAGCTTAGATCATAGCATATTCTTATTTTAGGATGGCCTAGTCAAAGGCTACGTTCACACCACAGCCTGAAGTGACCCAAATCCGATTTTTTTTGGCCCATATGCGATCTGGATCTGATCTCTTAATAGCTGTCTGAACAACACAGATCCGATTTTTTCCAATGCGACCCAGGCCACTTGGCTATGTGGTCCTGAATCCGATACGAAGCTGATCTTTTCAAATGCGACCTGTGTGTGAACAGCCAGGTTGCATTCATCCGACCTGAACGCCATTAATACCCGATAAAGGTCACTATTCTGGGTTTTGCTATGAATAAGTGGCAAGAAAAACAACAACCATGATGGAAAATGACCCGGAGAGCAGTATTTATGTTTAACCATCTTGAAAAGATTGAGTTTTTATGGTCGGGAAAGATCGCTAGATGCGATCTGGCACTACCATCCATGCTTACTTCCGTAAACACACTGTCAATGTCAAATTTATTTATATAGCACTTTAAAAACAGGAAAAAAACTGCACCAAAGTGCTTTACAGGAAAGACATCAATTAACAAAACAGAATGTGAAACACTGCTTCAATTAAAAGCGGAAGAATAAAAATAACGTTTAAGAAGCGATTTAAAATGATCCAGGCTGTGGGCGGATTTCATTTGAAGAGGTAATTGGTTCCACAGAATTGGAGCAACAACAGAAAAAGGTCCGATCTCCTTTCCTCTTAAGTCGAGTCCGAGGGACTGTCAGTAATAGTTGATTATTAGAGCGTAGAGCTGTTGACACAGACTGGAATTTTAAAAGATCTCTAAGATAAGGAGGAGGGAATCCATTTAAGACTTTATAAGTTAAGAGAATCTTAAAATCTATTTGGTAAAAGACAGGCAGCCAATGTGAAGAGGCCAGTTTAGGCCTTATATGGTCACGCTTCCTGGTTCCTGTAAGAAGCCGAGCCGCTGCGTTCTGGATCAGAGCACGCTAGCCTGTGATGTCATCGCATCCTCTACTGCGCATGCGGGACACTTACGTTTTATGACATCAGTTCACACAGGAGATCGCATACAAGTCGCATATATTTGGAAATGTGAACGACGACGCAAAAAAAAAAAAAATCAATTTCACAAGAAAATTCGGAATTGAGCTGCAGTGTGAATGTAGCCAACGTCCACATTTGAGAATGGATTTTTAGAGATTCTCTCATCCAGTCTTGCTTTAACTTTTTCGCTAGGTGAGAAAAGCTGATATTGAAATCTAGATAAGTCATTTTTTCTTAAAATAAATGCATTTATTCTTGGATTGAGGAGGAAAAAGGGACATTTTGCCAATGGAACAAGACAACTTCCACTTAAAATAAGAAAACACAATTGCATTGTCTTATTTCAAGTGCAAATTATCTAATTATCTATTTTTAAGAGTAAAAATAATCATTCCACTGGCAAAGTATCTAATTTACCTACTAAAATTAAGGGTAAATACACTTGATTTATGAAATTTTAACTTATTTCTAGATCGTTTTTCCAGTGGAGCAGCTAAAATACCTTCAGAACATCTCAGCCTTCTATCAATGGAACATCTATAAGTCTATTGTGCATAAATCTATCCATCTATAAACACACACATATATATATATATATATATATATATATATATAATATACCTGGTAGCTGGACTTAAACAGTTGCTTCACTCTTGTACCAGGTTTACTTACTCTTACTATTGTGCAATATTGATTGTTTAATCTATAAATTAATTAATTAGCCAAAATACCAAAATGTACTTGTGAAGCTATAAAGATACAGATTCATATAGTTTATGAAGGGAATGGTCCGATTGCTCCAGCTGTGGCCACATCTGTGACTAAAACTGTTCTGGATCTGACTGAAGCCCCTAAATCTGGCAGGTGATCCTGCTGATGCTTTAAAGACTGACTGCTCTGTTTCTTCCCCCTCCGCAGGTTAGCTGAAATGGAGAACCGTAATGGCTCTTATCTGAATGACAGTATCTCACCCAATGAGAGCATGTGAGAACAGCTTCTTGTTTTGTTTTGTTCTGCCCCGTCCTCCTCCCTAACTCACTGACTGGCTTCCTGCTGATTATGTTGTCCTTGTTTCCACTGGCTGCCTGTGTTATTCGTCTCTAAATGTGTATTCTGGATTTATTGTCCTTCCTCGATATTATGTCAGCAAATCAAGTATATTTATTTTAAATTATTGCAGAAACCATGCATTAAATTCCTCTGATTTTCCCTCAAAGAAACAAACTGAGTATGTTGGAGAGATAAGCATTTGTGAGGAGCTGATGAGCAACAGTTTCCCCTCAGGGTTGCATTTAGTTGAAATAAAAACATAAATCATTTCAGTTTGCTGCTTTTAAAACAGATTCATCGTAAACAAAAACTAATTTTTTTCTATTAATATATTCAAGAGACGCATAAAAACAAATAGAAAAGGCTCAATGATTCAGGTAAGGAAGCAAACTGAAGCTTTTAGAAATGCTCTCTAGTCTATCAAATCATTTTAGCTCAAGGTCGCACTGTTCTAATGTAAAACGAGTAAAAAAAACAGAATGTAAGGTTTGTTTACAAAAAAAACAAGCAAAATCCCCCTTTTTTGTAAATAGAGCGGTGAATAATTCTCTACATTCAGACATGATTTTTTTGTCCATAAATCAAGTCATTATATCTGATCAATGGATTAACAGGACATTAATCTGGATTAGCCTTATGCACAGTTTGAAATGTAAAAGCTGAACTATAGATTTTTTATGAAAGTAAATCTGTCACTGAAATTTAAATGTTGTATATCTGTACTTACTGTTTCAGTGTTAAAATATATTCAGAACACATTTTTTACCTAAAAAAAAAATCATCATTATTTCTACACGGTTGAAATTTCATTTGTTATTTTCTCTTCAAGCTAAAAATTCACATTACTATTTCAAGTGATTACATTTTCAATACTTATTTTTCAGTGTTAAAAAAATCTGCATATAAAAAATAAATTAGGCATTTAAATTCAGTGTAAAAAGGGAAGGGTTACTTCAGGTCACAGACATTAGCAATGGATTGTGGCGTCCAACACCCAGCCAATCCCGTTACGTTTTCTTAGTCACGTGACGTGACGCTTATGGCGCTCATACGGAAGGAAAACCAGCATGACGGAGCCGGTCATGCAAGCTAACGCTAACTCAACTACAGAAAAATGGAAGTAATAAACTCTCACAGTTGAGTTAGCGTTAGCTTGCATGAATGGCTCCGTCATGCTGGTTTTCCTTCCGTATGAGCGCCACAAGCGTCACGTCACGTGACTAAGAAAACGTAACGGGATTGGCTGGGTGTTGGACGCCAGAATCCACTGCTAATGTCTGTGACCTGAAGTAACCCTTACCTTTTTACACTGAATTTAGACGCCGAATTTAAGACAGTGAAATAGAGCCAGTTGAATCTCAGGAGGCTGAAAATGTTGAGGTTGAATTAAAAAATTAAACTGAAAAATAGTAATCATTTTGAAATAGTAATGTGAATTTTTAGCTTGAAGAGAAAATAACAAATAAAATTTCAACTGTGTAGAAATAATGCCAATTTTTTTTAGGTCAATTATGTGTTCTGAATATATTTTAACACTGAAACAGTAAGTACAAACATACAACATTTAAATTCAGTGGCATTTTTAATTTAAATCCCAGTGACACAGATTTACTTCTATAGTTTTTCCTCTCTTGTTATTTTTATTTTTATTATTATTCTGCATCAAAAGTATGTGGTAGTTTATAAACACGCTTCCAGAACTTTGATTTTTTGTGTCCATGTGAAAAAAAAAAACCAAAAAGTTTTATGTTTGCAGTGAGCAAAATCCAAACTTTGGACAAAGCAGCTCAGCTGCTGGTAAATTGATGATAAAAACCCAAATGTTTTTCTCCTAAAGCGTTCTAATACACACGGCTCAGGACAGGAGAGCAGCTCTGTTCCTCTGTTATATTTTAGATTCTCCATCTGTTCTATTTCTGCTGTTCCTTCATTCACCTTCTGGTTTTCTTTTTCTCCATTTTCCCCTCTGTGTGTTTGTATGTGTGCGTGTGTTTATACATGCATGTCCTCTGGTGTCTCTGTGACCTTATGAATGTGCGTGTCGATCATTGGTGGGTATGTTTGATGCGTGTGTGTGTGTGTGTATCTGCAGCGATGACGAGCACATGTTGATCCAGCACTACTGCCAGTCTCTGAACCAAGGCTCTCCTCTCAGTCAGCCCCGCAGCCCCGCCCAGATCCTCATCTCTATGGAAACGGAGGAGAAGGGAGAGCTGGAGAGGGTCCTCGGTGACCTGGAGCAGGAGAACAGGTCAGTGACGGGACCCGAATTCACCGGCGTCCAAATCCACTGATTGCATCACTGCTAAACTTTTTCACTTTGGGTCACAGAATATTTCCAGCTTCTGTGTTTTTATTTGGAGTTTATCTTGTATAGCGCTAAAACAAACAAATTAATTTAGGTATTAATCAAATTAATCATTAACTTGATTATAGAGACTTTAAACATGCCTTTAGCTGACAGAGTAACACTTGGAGCAGTAATTATACCAAGATAGAAAAAAAAATGCTCTATCCAGAACTCCTGAAGTGGAAAAGTTTGAATTTCACCTGTTTTAAGTTCGTAAAAAGTCTTCTTTGAAGAACGTTTAGCTTTCTGATTATTAATCGAAGAAGAAAATCAGATTTGTAAAATATTCATTGCTTACAGCCCTAATCTTGTAGAACAATACAACATAGCCAGTAAATGTGAAGGCAAAGTAAAAGAAAACCCTTTAAAACCTTTCGTTCAAAGGTGATAGCTGTACGTTTAACTCCTCCTGGCCAGTAGGTAGCGCCCTCGCGCTTTGCCTGCTTTTCATCTCTACTGCTTTCCAGCCATTTGCCAGATCTGCTAATGCTAATCAAACATTAAGCTCTTGGTTTCTGGGCCAACTGGCTTCCTTAAGTTGGTACCAACTATCTAAAGCTTAAACTTTGGCCTATCTTCAATCGGAGAAACACAGAGAAGAAGTGATTTCTCAGCTCCATCATGGAGCTCAATCTACCATGGTCCATATATATTCAGGCATTTTATTGTTTTCGATTGAAACCAAACATGTATAAACAAAAATACACTGTTGTTTCTGTTTTTCCTTTATTGAACCAAAACAAGAAAACGAAAGACAAACCCTTTCCCCCATTTTACCTTTTTTTTTTTTTTTCACTAAACGAAAATGGTTTCTTTTTTTTCTGTCAATGAGACAAAGATGTGCCAACTGAACAAATGAGAGGTTTTTCTCTGCAGGACTGATGAGCCTTAAATCTGCCCAACCAGCTTAATTTTCAGCCACTCCAGTTCAATCCTCTAACGGAAAAATTTAGCAGGCTGGGTGGAAATGAATAGTTGAGTTTTCATCTGACAGCAGTTGTTGTGGAGATCAGATTTAAATAGTTGAGTTCCTCTTTTGGCAAACTGGCTATCAGCGTGATCGGACCCAAACTTCTTGGAATTTTCTATGTTTTTATACTCATACAAAACAAAATCTTAAGTTTTCTGTGAGTAAGAATGTTTGGTATGTGGGGCAGAGACTCCTGATAATTGGAAGTGAGCCCTCAAGGTCACATTGTTGTTTTTTTTTCCATTTTCGTTTACTGCATAAAAACATCAAATGGAAAACTGGTTTATCTGCTTTCTGGTTTTGGGTCAGTAAAAAAAAAAAAAAAAGTTTATTTTTTTTCCCGTTTTGTTTCCTTTTGGGTTTGAATAATTAAAAAAATTAACTACCTAAATGAACACAGACCTACTATTCCTGCTGGTTCGTAATCCGTTCATGTTTAGGTCGGCGTCGTTACCAAAAGTAAATATTTTGGACCCGTCTAAATGTTTAAAACAATTATTTCTCTACTTTGAATTAATTCTTTGAGTATGCACCACTCTAAATGTTCTTTGGATGTAATACTTTAAAAAAAATTGTTTTGATGAAAAATGAAAGTTGTACCTATGACCTTTAATTTACCTAAAAAAATCTGCAAACTGTGTTAGTAAAAAGTATTTACGCCAAATGACAGAATACTCAGGGCTTTTGATTATATTCACAAACTGAAATGACTGATAAAAAAAAACAAACACATTTAATAAAAGGATGTTTCAAAGGAAATTATTTGTACCTGCTAATATCTGCTTCCAAATGCGAAAAGACAATTGATGAACTGAGATTTATTGTGCCCAGAAACTGTCAGTTCACAGTTGAAAGCTTCAAAGCTTAAACTATGTGTAACATTATACGATCATTTTTGTCTGTAAAACTGGCCTTTATATTAGTGAAATACATTTGGTCGTTTCCAGGAAGTAAAATCCTCTCCCTGTCGTTCCCTGCAGGAAGCTACAAGCCGAGTACGACCGATTGAAAAAGGCCCACGACAGGAAAGGTCTGTCCCCGCTGCCTTCGCCGCCCGAGATGCTGCCCGTGTCACCGCAGAGCGCCCGAGACGCCGAGCTCATCGCAGAGGCCAAGCTGCTGCGGCAGCACAAGGGGCGCTTGGAGGCGCGCATGCAGATCCTGGAGGACCACAACAAACAGCTGGAGTCCCAGCTGCACAGGCTGAGGCAGCTTCTGGAGCAGGTAGCTGGAATCGCTCAGCCATACTGTCCTGCTCTGGTTAGCTGGTAGACCCAGTGACACCCAGTCCTTGGACTAGACCTTTTTGTTCTATTGCATTTTTCTTCAGCAAAATATCCCATTTTACTCAGATTTCCAATCACCGTCATCCAGGCTGCTTCAGACTCTAATCCCACATAATTTGTTTCCAGCAGGTAGAGAAATTAGCCACCGCTAGCTTTACACAAGCTATATATCTCCACTGCCGCATGCTCTGATTCTCCCTTAAAGGAAAACGGTGTTTTATTTTATTTTTTTTTACATTGGCCCCTTGATTTTATGTTATTACATCATGTTCTACTCACCCATATGAGGTTTGTGTCATTTGGAGCCGTTCTGAAGATATTCCGTTAGGTTATATCCAAGTAACGTCTTCCTATGGGCAACGAGTTGAAGGCACAAACTAAACTGTTTATAATTTATCATTTATGGGACGCCAGCATTTATAACATGTAGGCCAGGGGTTTCAAATTGGTTCCAGAAAGGGCCGTGTGGCTACAGGTTTTTCTTTCCAACCAAACAATAGCACACCAGACTCCATTGGTATCAAGTCATCATGTTCAGATTGGACTCTATAGATTAGATAACTGGAGTCTGCTGTGCTGTTGCTTAATTGGAAAGAAAACCTGCAGCCAAACGGCGCTTTCTGGAACCAGTTTACCACCCTGATGTAGGCGAATCACTGTCCCCCAGACATCCGCGGTTATATTTTTTATATTTATAGTTTTTTTTTTAAACAAAGCAGAGAGTGTATGACATCATCCGCATGCACCGGCTACCATTCATTCTTCCTGTCCGCTGAACTGCTGCTAGTTTTACTTACATGCCTGGAAGATGTCTAATGCTACTACGATCTAGAAATGGAATTGAACGATTCAGATTAGCTAGCCCAATGAATATATGAGGTAGAGCGTAGCCTCCTGTGGGCTGCCTGTCACAACTCCAGTCCGGCTGCATGGATGACGTCATACACACTCCGCTTTGTTTTTAAAACATATAAATATGAAAAATATAACTGCGGATGTCTGGGGGACAGTGATTCGCCTACATGTTATGAATGCTGGCGTACCATAAAGAATAAATTACGAACAGTTTATTTTGTGCCGGAATATCTTCAGAACAGCTCCAAATGACAAAGAAAACTCATATGGGCGAGTAGAACAGGATGTAATAACGTAAATCAAGGGCAAAATGTAAAAACAAACTGCGTTTTCCTTTAAATTCAGCTGATATAGGTTTGATATTAGCCTAAAAAGCTCATCTCAGATTATACTGGCTTTCATCTAAAATCACTGATGTTGTCATACTAGTAGAAACACTTTTTACATTCTGCATTGCAAAATAAGCAATAGAAGTATGATTCATGGAAATGTGGTATTGGAAATGAAGAGTTGTATCAGGACATCTGTAGTCAATATCCCACATTTTGATAATCAGTTTTAGCTTTCACTAAATTTTCTGGTAATGATCTTTTGTAAAACGCTTCAGCAACAATCAGCTTGATAACACGTATACATTCATCTGGTCACCTGACTTTATGATACATTTCTTGGACATTAAAGATGAGTTGGTGCTTTGTCTGCATGTGGTGGCCATTACTGTTCTGACTCATCACTTGGACTCCTCTGAGTTGTTTCTGTTTGGTTTGCAGACGGATTCCAAGGTGAACGGCACGGCGCTGTCCTCTCCCTCCACCTCCTCTCAGCGCTCCGACTCATCTCTGCCTCTGCTCCGCGTGGCTGCCAGCCAGACTACTGACACTATGGGTAAAATAGCTAACTTCAGAGGTTTCCTGCTCTTTATTTTCCTATTTTTTTTACTTTTAGATCATGAAATGCTTTGCTGGTTTTCAGGCGATGATGAGTTTTCCAGCCCTTCCCAAGATGCACCTGGCCTGGAGGAAGTGATGGAGCAGCTCAACAACACTTTTCCTCACAGCCAAGGTACAGAACTGACTTTCCTTTCTGTTCAGAAATGACCAAGATGGAAACATCCGGGCTTCTTGTATCAATCTATTCACCTTTATATCTGCTGTAAGCGTTAGTTTCAGGTCTGAAAAAGTAAAAACATGACCAATCCCAAACTAGATTCCCTCTTCAACAATCTGGAAAATGAAGTTTTGAAATTTGAGGATACTTTACTTCTTAGACATTCTTCTATTCATGTATTACAAACAGAAGGATGACGTTTCCCTCTTTTCTTCCTGTCTTTTCTCGATGAGCCAGGCGGTAGAAGGGGACATCCATGAGAGGTCAGTCGCTCAGCGTTCCCTCTCCCCTCCGTTCTCCATCTATAGAGCTTGTCTGCTGTTAGCATGTAGCTCTCATCTAATCACAAACTGTTTTCATCAGAAGCAAGTCTGGTTATTTCTGCCAGCAGGTGGCAGACTTCTACCATTTAGCATAGCTGATCACATTCAGTGCCTTACAGACATGTATTAGTTTTACATATTGAAGTATTTCCTGCGATTCTCCCGGGCCAGATTCTCCAGACTAACGGCCATGAAGTCTCTTAATCCTGCTTTAGAAAACAACTAATCATTGCTTTTTTAATAAAGTTACAAATTTCAATCTATTTTGTGTTAAATAAGGCAGGCACTGGATGTGAATGTTGGGTGCTTTGCACGCTTCCACATCACCACTGCATGTTTAGACGTTTATGGAGAGAACTATGTTCCAATATTGTTGAAACTAATAAAATTTATCATATGTATACAAAAGTTCAACAGACATTTGTTCAGATGTTAGTTTACAGATTTCTGCTCTCTGTGGACTTTAGTAATGTAATTATTTTTGGTCCACACAGACCACTATGAAGTAGAGGGTGACATTTGGAAAGCAGGACTTAAAAAGAACACATTTAGTTAAACTAAGTCTCCTAAATGAAAATAGATAACCGTATGGCAGGAATTTTGTTCCAACATTTTTGTAAATAACAATTAGCGGAGACAATATGTCTTCCAGAAATTATGAAAAACAAAAGGGTTATAAGAGGAACTAGTGTTTTTTCATATTTTATTTCAAATTCTATTTATTGTTATGGAGGGCTTTTCTCTGGAAGGATGACGCGTTTGTATGGGGCTTGAAGGAAAGAGAATTTGATTAGTAAAATGCAATTCCCAAAGCTTAATCGAAACTTTAAAATTCAAATTGTTAAATCAGAAAACAAGCAAAGTTAGTCTCAAAACCTTTTAAGAATTTTTTTCTGAAATGTGTCTTTTTCAAATTCACAAAATGTTCTTTACTTGCAACAATAATGGAACAAACTTTACTCCGTAGTGCTTGTGCATCCACATTAGACATAAGTTCTCTCCATAGAGGGCTACAGCCTCAGATGACTAAACTGGCTAATTTTGGCTTAAAGGTATAGTGGAGGATTTTCGCAAATTTTGGAAAACACTTTACTACAAAATGCACAACCCTGTACCCGTTGCTCTAACACACCTATTAAGCATGTGCGAGCCCATTTCTCCTCGTGCATGCTCTGTTTAAAAGTTGCTTTTTGCATCGTTCATACTAAGCTTACTTAACAAAAGAACTGCAATTTTCCACTATATCAACACCGGTAATGCTACATTCAGACCGCACAAGATAGAGGTTGCAGAAGCAGCTACTTTAAATGCAAAGTTTATGGTTGACGCACATCAAAAGGTCCTGCAGCGCGTTTTGGGCAGCAGCTAGTTGAGTTGGGAAATCTAACTTTTGCTGCTCAACGCACCACATCAACCAATCAGAGAAGCTAATCTGGGAACTGGTAGGGAGACAGTGTTCCTGATGCAGATCGCTAAGATCAATCCTCTGAAACAGTTTATTAACGCCTAAATTAACTTAAAATGTTAACACCTGTCGGCAAAATATTGATTTTATTATTCTGGTGCCTGTGGTTTGAACAGCAGCGGAAAACCGCCACCATGCGACAGGCCAGAGGCTGCTGCTGAAGGGGATTTCCAGTGACAGAGCACTGCCTGTGTATAGGGATCTAAGTGGCTCCGACAGCGACATAATATTTGAAGGCAGGATCATAATCTTGATGTTCTGACTACACAGATTAAGTTTTCAGGTGGACTTTCTCACTTAAAACCATTAAAAGTACTTTTTACCCACTTATAGCAACAAATATAGTGAAGCAACTTGCGGTCTGAACATAGCATAAATAAGGAGTACGTAGGACGGCCTTATGTAAACATTGCTCACCAGAATGATTGACAGTTAGAAGGACCTCTTATTTTGATGATCCACCTAGAAAAAGAAAATCCTCCCCTATACCTGTAAAGCTCGCTCTGGTCGTTACGCAGCGAGACTCTTGTTGATCTGTTCCTTCCTCCCAGCAGGTCCCAGCATCGGCAGCTTGTTCCACATGGCGGACGACCTGGGCCGCGCCATGGAGTCGCTCGTCAGCGCCATGACCGACGAGCGGGGCGTGGAACTGGAGCCGGCCCGACCTTTTTGACCCCCTCCATCCATCTCATCGCATGCTTTTTCTAGTCAAAACTGGATTGAAAACTGTTTACACAGAGAATATAATGTCTATTTTTGTGAAGGATTGCGGTTAAAGCAACAAGTACAAAATAAATACAAAAAAAAAAACTCTTAAGATTTGAGTAGTTTCTTAAAAACATCCTGTTTTATTGTTAAAAGAGGCTGGTTTTTAAACTTCTATGCAATTGTATAAAACTAGAGTCGGGGGGGATTTAAAGGAAAAAGATGAGACCTACAGCAACGCGTCTTCAGTGTCCTCGTATATTTGCTATCTCTTTCTAACCGGGGAAACAAGCTGAAGCTTTGATTGTAACCATGAGGGGTTTTCTAAGAGGCTGATTTCTTTGCTTGTGTGAGAGAGTGAGTTTCTGTATGTTGTGCCTAAAATTTCATCACTTTTTTTTTTTAGAGGGATTCTACCGTTTAAAAGTGGTTTTAGATAAATACCTTAAGCAGGATCCTAATTAAACAGCTGTGGATGCATTTAAAATGCACTAGAGGGCGCTGACAAAGGAAAAAAAGTTGACAGATTTTACTATTACGACAATTTGTAAATTGCACAGATTTGTTCTAAGCCCCGCCCCCTGCTGGATGTCACATCAACCAGCTCAATTTGATTGGACGGAGAGCCTCTGAATCAAATTAGGTTCCTGTTTCCTTCAACATTAAAAATAGTCCCCAAGCATAATGCTGCCACCTCCATGTTTTACTATAGGTGACGTTTTACTCTCTCCTTTTAAATGAATGTCAGATTAGAGGCTTGTCGCCTACCGGAGGTTTGGACGTCTGTAGAGTTCCTCTCGTCTCCTGGTCGGGTTGATTTGTCAGTTCAGGGCTCCAAAACAGTCTGAAAAGAAAAGTATAGTGAAAATCTTCATTTTTCTCCCCCCTAATAACATGTTTTGTTAATATTTTCCTCTTATGTTTTAGAAGCAAAGTGCAAAACAGGTTATTAAGAGTTAACTTAATTTGTTTTCTCTATTAGATAAAGCAGCAGAATAAAGCTGCTTCCCCGTAAAGAAACGGTTCACTTTATTAGCTCGGCCACTTTAGAAAGTTGCTGGGTTTTTATTTCAGGACTGGCGAACAGGAGCTCTACCTCCTGATCTCTGGAAATGCAGTAATAATTTCAGCTCCAGTATTAATAATAAATAAACTATTTACACTGATGGGACGTCCTGCTCCGTTAACTACTGTCCAATCTCATACCTAATCTGTTTGGTTTATTTTTTTCCTGTGTGAGAGTTGAATGTTTTGGTGTTCTGTTTTCCTCTCCGGTGTGAGGTGCTCTGATATTAATGTGTGACTAAAGGAAAATCTTAATTTAATTAAGACATATGGATCGCTGTCGTCATGTTCCTGCAGCATGACCCAATGAGTTTTTAAACTTTCCACCCAAACAGAATCAGATCTGTTTGTTCAATTTCGAAGAACATGTCAGTTTTCAGCTAATTTTATTTTATTTTTTTTCCAAATAACATGTCAGTTTCCATCAAATGTATGCCTTACTACTGTATTATAAATGCTTTACTGTATACCAATAAAGCATGCCGTTATGTTGACAGTCTCTCTGCCTTACTTCACATGATGATCCTCCAGACACCTTTAATACCAGAGAACATGTTTTGGTTTCTGTATTGCATTTAAAGATTTCTGATCAAGCTCATTTTACAAACATTATCTAACTAAATTACTTTTTTAATTGTTAGATCAGAGGTCTATTAGCAGACGCCATCAAATGAGGATCTATAAGGACCTATCCTATTATAATGAAATTATTTTTGTTTGATTTCATGACAATTTTAAAATTTATTTAACGCCATATTTTGACACTCATTTTTTTTTTTCTCGATCTGTCTTTATTTCCTGCTTACGGAAGCGGATTAGGGCCACTGGAAAAAAAAAAAAAGTTATCTGATTTTTAAATTTCATTTCAGTTTAACATGGGAAAAAAGTCAGAATTCTGAGAAAAAATACAGAATACTAAACTGAAATAAAATTTAAAAATCTAACTTTTTTTTTCCACTGGCACTAATCCTCTTCCGTACCTGCTCTAATAATTGAATAAATAGGCGGGAATAAAAAGAGTATAGATAAAAGACAAAAATATTTGACATTGGCTAAGTAGTAGTAGTAGTAGTGAAACATTTTTTATTTTTCTTGTTTGTTTTATATGATTGGGATATTTATTCTATAGAATATTTATTTATTCAGCCATAGGGGAAACTAAGGAAGCCTGGAACGCTCAAAAATGGTAACAGCAAGTAGTGGTCATTTCTGAGGCCCAATCCAAAACCGACCCCTGAACACTAAAGGCCAATTTATATTTCTGACGCACAACCCCTGCATATGGAGGACCAACTCTGCCATATATAAAAATAAATACAGAAATAAATAATGCTCAATAAATAAATAAGCATACAATTAATTGCCACCAAAAATACAATAAACAAAATAAATGTAAGTAGAAATGAAATTATACATTATAATTAAATTACACATTTATACAGTGAGATATAAATGTATATAACTCTTAATTAGCTTCTTTATTTATTTGCCTTTGTAATATTTACCTTATTTATTTTTTCATCCTTTATAATCTTCAACTTTATTTTTTAATTACTTGTATTTTTAAGTATTTATTTATGTTATAATACTTTTGTGTTTTATTCTTCTTTTGTATTTTTACCCTAGTTATTTATTTCTGTCTGCCCTTTTTACATTTCTCTATGCATTTCTACCTCATTATGCAAATGAGGAGGGGGTGTGTCCTAGAGAGTCAACTTCTGCTCATTGGTTGGCTTGGCGTTCCATCTTCTTAACTCACAGAGCTCAGAGTACTAAGTTAAATGTTCTCTTTTCTGTTGCTGTTGTTCAACAAGTTCTAAGGTTATTTGAGGCGAGAAAATTATACTTTTAAGCATCTCCATATGGCCCACTCACAGATTAAATGCGTAATTTAAAAGAAAATGTTCCAAACTTGAGAGGACCGCGGCAACCAGCGGAGCTCCGACCCTCACAGCAGCCAGGTCTAACAGCAGCCCGTCTGCAGCGGCCCTCTCTTGGCATAGCTGTGTGTGAAGGACCGCTGGCTATGATGGCGATTTTTTGTTGTATTTGGCAAAGT